ATGGATAATATATTAAATCAGTGCTCTGTTACATTGATGATAGGATGTGACAATGCTGGTCACAAGTCCTACTTGACTTCCAGATTTTTGCACTTTTTTGTTACTTGTCGATTGCATTTTTTCACGCGAACGATTAATCAATCATTTATTTCATCAGTTGAAAGTAAAAACCATAGAAAAATTTCTCACTTAAAGTAAATTTTAATAACGCAAATAATAAAAATAATAATTATTATTAATATGTATAATATAATTTGTTTGTATGTACAATAAATTTTTAACGTATAATAAATTCACATAATAGCACAATTTAATAATAATAATACTATTGTGTCAGTTTTGTTCCTTGTCATTTATTTAACTAAATATAAAATCAGCGTTTTTAAAACACTTAATAAAGCATTAAACACCTTCCATCGCTGAGAAATGTTTATTTAATAAAATACGTTCGAACTCATTTACACCTGAGGATAGTTTATTCCATGAGGCTGAAAATGTTAGTGTTTTATTAAATAAACATTTCTCAGCGATGGAAGGTGTTTAATGTTTTATTAAGTGTCATTTATTTATCCATAAACCTGGTTTTGGGTTTAAATAAAAGCTTTTTCATTCTTATAATAAAATGCATATAAAAATTATGAAATCGAACTCGAAGGTTATATATCTTTCAATAAAAAGAAAACATTCGACCTCACAGGGATTCGATCTAGCGGTCTTGTAGTGATTGCAGTGCCCCTGGTGGTAACATTTGTCTCTAGTTGATTCTAGCAACGAGCGAAGATAGGAAGTCGAAAGACCAGTTAATCTACCGACTCTGGTATCGCCAAGGTTTTTGGCAAAATTTGATGTAATATCGCTGCTCACGTTGTTCAGTCATTTTCCAACTTAGTGAAATCCGACGAGAGCTCGCTACATGTCCTCACTCATAGGCCGACTGCCAACGACTAACGCTTCCTGCAGGCGGGAAAAAATTCAGGGCTATGCATGACTGTCCCCTCCACAACTCCACCGAAAGAGGCCTCCCGCGCATCATTGGTTTACGCGGAAAAAATAAAAGTCCGATACTTTTTGAACAGACCTCGTATATAGAAGTAATGAGTTTCCCCGGTAAATTTTTCGACTGGAAGCTTCTGATATGACATGTAGTCCAAGTAAAGTCAAATAAAAAAAAAAAACAAAAAACGTTCTAACCGCATGTTGATCGGACTGAAAAGTTGGAAGAATATAAATTTTTTTCAGTATTTTTATATTTAAAAAAATGTTAACTAAAGATTGAGCTGGGTTTGTGAGACCCACTGTGATTCACTGAGAGCTATCTCTCTGTGGCCCACCTTTCCTTGTAAATACTTTAAGATTAATCATCTGATATTTTTTTTATCAATCAAAACTAACTTAGTGTAATGATTATATAATCTTGTATTAAACTCTTAACTTATGTTTTCTTTTCAATTAGCGTTTCTTTGGAATGATAAGACAAGGAAGTGGAAGCAATTCTAATCCCACAACAGTGCAGTTCTTATACCTGTACAGACTGATGACTGTGTACAGTTTGGTTCGTCCTCCCAAACGAGCATCAGTTCAAACTGATCCTGGATCTTCCCTTATTACTTTAAAAATCTTCTTCATAGTCACAAAAAACCATTTAAAGAAGTTTAAGAACAACTGGAAGAACATTTACAAAATTTGTTTTCTAATCCAAGCCTGTCCTATGGAGATACTAGTGATAGTGAATTATTAGATCATGATTATTGTGCACCAGAAACATTAAGTTTATTCTACGTTATTTAGGAGGTTACATTGTTTATCATCTACTGCCATCACTTGGTTGTGACGAATGCAAAAATATATTAACAGCAAAACCTGAGGATTCTGCACCAGAGAAGGCATTTACATTCATCAAATCTCGAGGAGGTTTGTTATATCCAAGCTATAAGCTTTGCCAATTGATGTACTGGGCAGAAAGCAAAGTATGCGAAAAATTAACAAACCTGGATGTTTATTTTTCAATAATGGATATTATATTAAATCAGTGTTCTGTTACATCGATAATAGGATGCGCCAATGCTGGTCACAAGTCCTACTTGACCTCCAGATTTTTGCACTTTTTTGTTACCTGTCGATTGCATTTTTTCACGCGAACGATTAATCAATCATTTATTTCATCAGCTGAAAGTAAAAAACAGAAAAATTTTTCACTTAAAGTAAATTTTAGTAGCGCAAATAATAATAATTGTTATTATTATTATGTATAATATAATTTGTTTGTATGTATAATAAATTTTTAACGTATAATAAATTGACATAATAGCACAATTTAATAATTGTATTATTATGCCAGTTTTGTTCCTTGTCATTTATTTAACTAAATATCAAACTCAGCATTTTTAAAACACTTAATAAAACATTAAACGCCTTCCATCGCTGAGAAATGTTTATTTAATAAAATACGTTCGAAGTCATTTACACCCGAGGATGGTTTATTCCATGAGGCTGAAAATGTTAGTGTTTTATTAAATAAACATTTCTCAGCGATGGAAGGTGTTTAATGTTTTATTAAGTGTCATTTATTTATCCATAAACCTGGTTTTGGGTTTAAATAAAAGCTTTTTCATTCTTATAATAAAATTCATATAGAAAATTATGAAGTCGAACTCGAAGGTTATATATCTTTCAATAAAAAAAAAATATTCGACCTCACAGCGATGCGATCTACCGCTCTTGAAGTGATTGCAGTGCCCCTGGTGGTAACATTTGTCTCTAGTTGATTTTAGCAACGACCGAAGATAGGTAGTCGAAAGACCAGTTAATCTACCGACTCTGGCAGATATAAGTCTTCCTACTAACATCCACTTGGCACTAACTTCTACACTTAGCTATTCGTGGCGGCACTCAATTATTGGTGTTCGCTACTCTCAGGTTTACTTTTAGACCCTGTGGGGGACTATGGCCTTGCAGCATAAAAACTCCACGTCAACATCAAACACAGAGGGTACTGTAATCATATGTACACCGTTCAGAGGGATTCTATCTTTCTCTACTGTCTATCTCCTTATTGTACAGATCCCTAAGCAGGCAAACCTGGCGAACTACGTCCTATCTCTCTTCTCTCGGCCCGTTTGAACCTACTCATAGCAAGCTCCTCTCTACCACTTCAGCCTCCAACATTTATTTCAATGTATTCACCGACGAGTCTGTCTGCTGCGGACACTGGGTGCAGCTTTGTCGTTTCCAAAGCAACAAAGAAATATTCTCTATGCGTCTAAGACTGCACTCTCACTGCAGTGTTTTCCAAGCAGAGCTGATTGGTATTCTGTGTACAATTCACTGGTCGAACTCAAACTACAACAAGCAGCACTTCTCTATTTACACTGACAACCAATCTGCCATCAAAGTTATATACAATCACTCCCTCCATCCTATTGCCAACGTCATCCACCGTATTATTTCCAACTCCGACAACAATTACTCTATCACCTGGGTAAAGGCACACATTGCAACCACTGGTAACGAACGTGCTGATACTCTGACAAAGTCTGCTGCCGCTGATCTGGCGGTAGAGGAGACTAGGATAAAATAGCTGACTTATATCAAGCAGGTCTTTTGGGAGCATCTCTTGTAACAGTTGGCAATTTAAATGGGACTAAAAATACAACTCTACTGCCTACTGCTTCTTTCCATTTATCAAGGATTTCTTCAATAACACCTGGCTTATACCGGACTTTTCTACCACTCAATTTTTCACTGGTCACGGCCGTTTTTTTCAACTACCTCCAAAGATTCTCTCTTCACGATAACAACCTTTGCACCATCTGTGCCGTTTCTGATACTCCCCTCCATTATATCTTTTACTGTCCCATGCTATTCATGCCTTGCCACTTTTTGAGGCATGCTGTTTTGGACAAAGGGGATGTTGGCCGAGCGAGTGTAATTACTTAATAGAAGACAAGAACATTTACTTCTATTTCAATCAGCTCATATCTTTCCACAATAAAGTCACAACAGTCCCTCAACTCAGTTCCCACTAGCTTTCGTTCTTTGTCACCATTGTTATTCCTCAACTACAACAATTTCGTAAATAATTTTATGTAAATATGTGTTTGTTAAATATTTTTACTTTATTTCTATTTTACTTTTCCTGTAACTCATTTTGTTTTACTATATACACTAGTACTGTACATTGTATGCTGAATGGTATTTATATTTGTATTTTGTATTTCAACAATTTCAATTGTATTATTTCTCATGTAAGTTCATTTTATGTTATTATTTGTAATTACTGTACACTGTATGCAGATTTATATTTGTATCAATATTTGTATATTTTATTTTCATTTTTATACTATACTTTATTTGTATCTCATTATACTAGCAACATTTTGTATTATTTTATATATTCACTGTACCTGCTTCCTGGAAGTGCTTTGCGGAACCAGATGGCACATTTTGTGCCAAATAAAAAATGATTATGTCTATCTCCTCTCCCTCCTTCTTCCACTCCCCTTTCCCTTACCCTCTTTTCTTCCGGCTAAACATGGCCGATGTCTTTCTTGTATGTATGTATGTAGAAGGCCTCATACATTTTTAAGTCATAGTATAAGCCTAAAATAAGTCTAACATGTGAATATACTATAACTCTGATAAGACATCTCAAACCTCGACAGTCAAACTTCGATAGAGCGCTTTCTTAAATAATGTCAGCTTCGTGAAACGACAATGAATATTACTGAATAGATACCCTTCTCTTTAATTGTTATATAAGGAACCCTTTAATATTCATTTTTAAGCACTCAGTAAGCAATATTGCATTGCAAACAACATTATCGCCATCAAATCACGTAATTTTTAAATTCAATTCCAAACTTGTTCATATACCTCATACTACACATAATCTTTATTGCTTAGGTTATTTCGTTTAACCTCATGTTCGGTTTAGTATCAGTTTTAGAACAAATAGTATCGCTAAATCAAAGCTTGTCTATATACTGTATACAAAAACTTACCTTCATGTGGATCGCACGGTATTTCACAGAGAGATGAAACCTTCTTAAAGCGCTCTGTAAAACCAGGTTCTATGAAATCTTTGCAGGTTTTGGAACTCTCAGATAGTTTGCGCGGATTCTTTATGTTTCTCCATTTTGATATCACGATATCTTGGATGAACTATATTCTTCTGGTTCTTCAATCCATCCCCCTATATATCGAAAAATCATGTCATATTTTAAGGTCATTCAAATATAATGACACCAATTTTAAATCCCTTTTGATTATCTATCGCGCCCCATTTTATCATCAGTTTTTAGACACCCCATACTCATGTCACGCTTGATTCGTCACCCCTTGATATTAAAATCAAACATTTTTGTAAAACATATTTACAGTGCATTAATTTATTCATATTTCCCGCCAAGGAGAAGTTAATTTTAAAAACAGGCAATAGAAAAAAAGAATCAAAAAGAAAACGAAATTCATCGATTAATCACAGAAGAGTCTGATGACCTCCTGTCACAAGCCAAGGACAATATACTACAAGGATAGCCAGATCCCTATTCTACAATGTTAGCCAGGAATGGAATGGCAAGTTAGTGACGTCAGCACGAGTCCTGACCTCTCTGTTTACATAGAGCAGGGTGTGCACGTGTTTAGTTTTCGCTTTTAATATTCGTCCAATTTTGTGATTAACGAAGTGATTTATTTTAATATTTCTGTAATTGTTTTATTTGACTAAGTTTTTTATAAGGTAAGATGATTTAAATATAAGTCATTAAATATTTAAAGCTATATTTTTATGTTAGGTGAAGAACAAAATGCTGAGTACTAGGTGTGCTGTGTATGGTTGCAATAATAACCTTCTTTTTTCAAATTGGAAGCAACCTGTTTACATCGGGTTTGATCAAAAAATGACAAGAGAAATACTTTTAAAATTAATAGCAGAACTTTATTTACTATCGTATAATGTAGTAGCTTGCGTCAGTGACTGTAGTTGCAGTAACATAAGTTTATGGAAAGAATTGAATGTGAATATCAATGAAACGTTTATTATGAATCAATTATTATTATCAATGAAACGTATATTAGAGATATAAATATGTGGTTCGACATTTTTAATAGCTATGCACCAAAAGGTTCTGTTCCAAGCAAAAATGGATATGGTGTAGACTTGGAATTACAAGAAGAACATTTAAATAAAATGATAAAAATAATCTCAACAATGAGAGCAAGTGGAAAAAATGCCCTCCAAATTTTCCAGAAAGGAATGATAATCTCAATGAAATCGCTAATTGATCTTTTTCAAGATATGAAATCGACTTTTGATATAAAATACATCTGCACTTAAATCAAGATTGTCTGGAAAATTTTTTTTTTTCAAATTAGAAGCCGGGGTCCTAATGAACATCCAAGCCCATTAAATGCTATATATAGGATTAGATTGATTATTTTAGGTAAGAATCCTGGTATTTTAGAGTCAAAAGTAAATACTACAGATCGAAGACAAGAGGAATATATTATACCCAAAGTTTTAGAGAAAGCACATGTAGAAGTATCAAGTGAAAATACAGACCAATATACTGAATGTAAAACTACTTTTTCTTCAAATAAATCTTCAGGAAACTCTACATGCAATCTAGACTTTAACACAATCTCTGAAGAAACTTCCTACGATGCTCTCGAGTATATAGCAGGATATTTTGCCTATAAATATAAAGAAAAATACCCAAACTTAATTAATTCCACTAACAAAATTAAAAATCATTACAACTATAGCATTCCGTCATGGGTGCAACATTTATCTTATGGAGGGCTTATTAAACCTACTGATGAATGGCTAGCAAAAATTATAGAATGGAATAAATATTTCGAAATATATCACGATGAATCGTATAAAAAAGGCCCCGGAGTTGTACAGAATTAGTCAGTGGAAACAGTTTTACCTTTTACTTTAATAAAAGATTTTTGTAAATTAAGAACTATAATAAGAATTAATTATAGAAATCTTAAACAAGAAAACTATAAAATATTGAAAAGAATGCCTTCTGAAAATGGTGATTGTCGAAAAAAAATTAAAAAGTTAAGTAAGATAATCACATAATAAAAAATATAGCTCATTAATTTGTTAAATAAATATTAGACAAAAGACTTGTAAATTTATTGACGTACAGTACACTTATTAAATCCGAAAATTCTACAGTAGTTTACATTTAGTAGTAATTTAATAATTAATTAAGAAATGATTTAATATTTTATCGTATTTTGTTATTTGAAAGATCTGTCATGTTGAAGTAGAGGGTTTGCTGTGACGTCACATAGAGCCAAGGTCACGCTAACAAATATACGGGATCTGGCTATCCTTGTAGTTTAAAGTCCTTGGTCACAAGCTCTTACAAAATTTTAATATATCCACCTCCCGTCATATTACGTCATATTGTGTGCTTGGACGAACTATAATGAATATTAGAAAGTTCTCTAAATGCCCATTGGACGAACAAGTTATAAACAAACAAAAAACATATACTGTAGATATGATATACTAATTCGTCGAATTTCGTGCCTAATTGGCCTGCAATTTTATGTATTTAAAAAATTATTATTATTAACAATAAAAGTTATAAATAAATGTAGGGAAATTATTTAAAACTTTAAAAAATTAATATTAAATCCCAAATTTAATATTTATTATATTTATTTATTTTTTCAAAGTAATAAAATTTCAAGAACATTTTTAACCGATAGATGGCATTTGTATTTGCGGTTATTGTCGTCTGTTAAAAATATCCTTGGTGTTAACTTTTTTTTTTTTTTTAAATTAGTATTTGCTAATGGAATTATCCAAGATATATTTAAAGAGTAAGAGAAAACTTTGTAATTATTTAAATATAAATTTAAATTACATATAAATACGTAAAATATTCTTAATGCTGTATCGTGGTATGTGTGACGAGCATTTAAGTCAAGTGATTGTTAAAAATAGGAAGGAAAACGCATTGAGAAGTGCCAAAAATTTGTTAAGAGACATTTGAAATTTTAAGAATTTGTAGTTGTGACAGAATGGTTTGATTTCAATGTAACTTATTACAAAATTACATGAATATTGAATATTGTATATATACTTCATCGTGTTTTAATGCCATTTAATATATATGTAATAATATATTAAGGCTCTTTTTCGTTAACAGGATGCCAGAAGACGATAGTGAAAAACTGTCGCGTTTAACAATTTAGCCCACATGACTGTGCCAGCTTCAAGTAGCCCACTTGACTGTTCGTGGAGTACTTGATGTTATATAGTTTTCGGGAAGTGTGGGGGCTGAGGTGCGAGCGATATCAAGTGCCGAGGTGCACATCTACGTGCAAAGCATGTAGAATAAGCAATATACTGATACAGTAGTACCTCAGGATACGAAATTAATCCGTTCCAAAACTGAGATCGTATCATGAAAATGTCGTAAGGTTAATAATTTCCCCTCATACGATTACATGTAAAACCAAATAATCCGTTCCAACACGAAAAAAACACTCAAATTAAAGCTAAGTAGTACATTGAAAAAAAAAAAAAACGTTAGTAAGGAAAACACTGAGAAATGCATTTTGTAGTTGTAAATGTATAAATAACCATAATAGAATAATAATTGATTTTTAAAAAAATGTAGTTTTATTTGCACTTTATCTTTGAGGATAGAGGATGGTGGAGGTGTAAATTGGTTAGTGCTGTGCGATGCATCGATGTTTTTGTTCGTCGATGCATCGACCTTCCGATGTTTTTGAAGCATCGATCCTGAATCGATGTTAGCAATATGTGAATTTCGATTCATCGATGCATGCAGTTCATTCATTGTTCCTAATGTTACCACCTGTTCGGTTTTCACCCGGACAGTCCGGGAATTTTGTAGAAATTGTGAAATTGCGATGAAACAAAGTTCTCGCAAATATGTTTACAAATTTACACTATTTTAACAGTGAATGAACTCACACTCATTGAAACTCATCCGCAACTCTTCCATGTTAGTCTGTTTACGCCGAATTGTGGCGCGCAACCTGTCGACTTTGAGGCCGGATGGCCAACGGTCAAGGTGGCAGCCTATCGCTCTGGGGAACCCAGGATCGAATCCGGACGGGTCAAGGAATCCCCAGGAATTTTTCGGGGGTGGTCTGTTCGGATATGTCAGACCCCGTCCCTCACCACCCGGTCGCACCATTGTGGGCCTGGCCGAACCCATAATGGCACTAAGAGGGCCTTTTATAGCAGTAAAAAATAACCCTGTCGACTTTTTTTTTGCATGTACGATCGTATACGTATCAAATACAGCTAAGTTATCTGTACCTGTTCTTTCTTAATTTAGGTTACTTACGTTACTCCTACGCAAGTCCCTAGTCCCTAACTGTAACTGATTTAGAACCGGCATGCACGTTATTCTTTGCATTGTAAAATGACATTGCGCATGCGTCAGGAACTTCTGTTCGAACAAACCCGGTTTTGTTTTTTTTTTTTTTATTGTTTGAGTTTATCTTGATCGAACATCGATGTTCCAATGGGCATCGATCAAACATCGATGTGAAATCCGACATCGAAATTTAGCATCGATGCTTAGGCAAACATCGATGTTTGACATCGATGTTAAAATTACAGACATCGCACAGCACTGAAATTGGTGGTGAAGGAGAAGGGAAATGATACTAAAACTTAACTTACGTAACATAATGTAACAATAACTTAAAGTAACTTAACGCTAATTTTTTAATCTTTTCTGTTTTATATATTTTTTAAAATTTTTTATTCACTGCTTTTTGCTTTCTTTCTTTTACTTCCACCAGTACTTTCACTGGATAGAGGTCGCTTGGTAAAATATCTATCCAAAGAGATTTGGCTTTGCCTACTTTTTTAAATGTTTCTAAAATGATTTAGGCAAATGTCATTAAACTGAGCAGCAATACGGCCAGTGTGAACCTTTTTGGGATGTTTCTTTTCAATAAAATCAGTCACTTTCTGATAATACCTTAAGATTTCCTTTATCGAGCGAGATCCTTCCATGACAAAGCAAACACATGGACTGAAGTGAATAAAAAATGGTGCTGCGAACTAACATAATGTCGTATGGTGAATTTTTGTTCATACCTTGGAGCAAAAATTTGTTCAAATTTCATGTCGTATCCTGAAAATTTCGTATGCTGGAGCGTTCGTATCCTGAGGTACTACTGTATGTGTTAAAAACTGACTTTTGGAGATGAATATCTTGCAAAGGGTTAACAATTCTGGGGTGATGTGAAATCCCTCATTCAAAGCTTGAATCTTACCTGTTGCTGTACTGTACATATCAGCTGGTGTCCCATTAACCGAAAAGTACCATTAATTGTTATACCATTTAATATATATAAACATGATGAAATATAAATGCACTAAATAATGGATAATTTACAAAATACTTACACAACTAAAAATCCAGTTTGTGAAACACAAAATAATGGAGAAAAACAAACGTTTTCAATTGCCTTTAGCAATCATCTTCGAGTTAAAAAAATGTATTTGGAAATAGATATCAGAATAGAATGGGCGTTGAAATGTAATATGAATGTATGTCTCTTTAATCCGAAAAATTAAGTTTGGTAGACTATCAATACAGCTTTCAGGTTAGACATTTCTTTTATTGTTTTCACATATGCATTTCAGGCTTATATAAATGCTAAGCCCCTCTTCAGTGCAATAATATGGTTCTGTCTTCTAAAACCACGGTGTATAACTGACAACATTGGGAAGGGTTTTTAATACAGCCATTAAAAACATCTAAAATACACTTTCCAAACATTCATATGGAAAACCTCCATCCATTTGTATCCAATATTCTTCTAAATATCACTTATGGTAGCTGTTATTTTGTTATGAATGTATGTCTCTTTAATCCGAAAAATTAAGTTCGGTATTGATAGTCTACCAAACTTAATTTTTTGGATTAAAGAGACATACATTCATAATGAAATAACAGCTACCATAAGTGATATTTAGATGAAATGTAATAATTTAAAATATAAAACAAATGATATCTGTTGGTGGTCATGTGTTTGTATCTGAATGTAAATATTGAGATGTGAACGAGATGTGTCAATGGTCACCTGCACATCCTCGTTCAAGGTATATGTGGCTGAAACTGAAGTAGCTTGCCTTTTATTAATTGAAATGAGATATTCTTGTAGGTTCAGGATGTATTGTAGTCCCAATGTATTGTAGGTGTCAGCCATCTCTGTTGTCCTGAAATGGTATGGAGTATATTCCTGGAAAGTACATTTTCTGTGAGGGTCCTTGGTGTTTCTAAGAAGAGCACAGGTGGTAGGGTTCCTTCTGTAGGCCAAGGAAAGGTGGTTGCCTGCTACTACTACTTGGTATATAGCTATTAGGGTCTCATTATACTGCACAAACTTGCATTTATGCCTTTCCTGTTTGGTCCTTTTCCATTTTGGTCTTGTTCCATATACTTGTTCACTAAACATTTTATTAATCTAGGTCGGGTCGGCAACCTTTTGAGTCGGAAGAGCCAAAAATTACAATTTACAAAATTTCAAAGTTTTTAAAGAGCCACAAAATTTTTTCTTGCCAACAATAAATAGTACTCGCATAAATAAAGTTTTTTGATAAAAAAAAACTAATCTATTTATTCAGAATTGTCTTGCGTCGAAAGCGAATTAAACCTCATAGAAACATCCGACGACAGCATCATTCGAGATCTTCCGACGGACTGACGACAGTGACGGCGCTGTCACGGAAGAGGGGTGCGATGAAAAACGAGTACAAGTGGCTGAGAGATAGAATCAGTGCCGAATCCTCGTTAAACAATTCAGAACGATTTTTAAATGTTTTTTTTTTATAAAATAAATAATATTTGCGTATGGAACTAAAGAGCCGCAGCTTCACATCCAAAGAGCCGCAGGTTTCCAACCCCTGATCTAGGTGGATACTCATGCTGGATAGCCAGCTGGGTTATGTACCACAATTTATGAGTTTTTTTTTTATAGTAGAAGAGTGTGTAAATGCCTTTATTTTTACTAAGGATCTAAAAACTGCTAGCTTGTATTGGAAAGAATCATTTAAAGAGGATGGGATAAAAATTGAATTTGAAATTGAAAAAGTGGGTTTGTGGTACATCAGTGGTAAATTATATCATCCTGTATACATATGTTGATATCCAGAAAATGGGCAACAGAAGTATGTTGCTGTTCCATGTGTAAGTGGATGCCAGCAGGATTGTTATTGAAAGAATCCAGAAAAACATTGAATCAATGTTTGGTTGATGATGCCAAATAATTAGTAGGTTGTCAATATATCTGGAATATAGGGCAATGTCATGCTCATAGAATGGAAGCATCTAATTTTTCATTTGCCTGACAAATAATTTACATAATATTAGCCTGATTAATTATGGCAATTGTTTGGTTTAGTCACAAAGTGTACCCAAAAGGAGTGCCTATGGGAAATTCTTCCATAGGCACTCCTCTGCACTGCAAGTAAGTCAACTCCTCAAACTGGAAGGAGAAGTTGTGGTAAATTAAGTTGACCAACTCTAATATATTTGCATGAAAGTTGCCATCTTTGACTATGCAATTGAGAAGAAAGTCATACAGTGCAAAAGCATAGTTCTATTTTGATTGACAGATACATCAATTTGAAATTGCATACTGTGATATACATGTAGACTCCAATCTGAAGGTTGTGTAGACGTTCCAAAAGTTGTGTAGAGTTCTTAATGCCCCAGTGGTAGTTATCTAAGTTTTTTGTGATGTATCAATTAAAGATTTTTTTCAATTAGTATTGTTGGAGACACCAACTTGTCCTTGACTGGACCTAGTTGATATCCAGGTTT